ACCCCTCTGCAAAACATGACTTAGTACTTGGTGGGAAAACCCTTGTTGGCAATCACAGAGGTCAGACGTTTCTTGTAATTGGCCACCAGGTTTGCACACATCTCAGGAGGGATTTTGTCCCACTCCTCTTTGCAGATCTTCTCCAAGTCATTAAGGTTTCGAGGCTGACGATTGGCAACTCGAACCTTCAGCTCCCTCCACAGATTTTCTATGGGATTAAGGTCTGGAGACTGGCTAGGCCACTCCAGGACCTTAATGTGCTTCTTCTTGAGCCACTCCTTTGTTGCCTTGGCCGTGTGTTTTGGGTCATTGTCATGCTGGAATACCCATCCACAACCCATTTTCAATGCCCTGGCTGAGGGAAGAAGGTTCTCACCCAAGATTTGACGGTACATGGCCCCGTCCATCGTCCCTTTGATGTGGTGAAGTTGTCCTGTCCCCTTAGCAGAAAAACAACCCCAAAGCATAATGTTTCCACCTCCATGTTTGACGGTGGGGATGGTGTTCTTGGGGTCATAGAAAGCATTCCTCCTCCTCCAAACACGGTGAGTTGAATTGATGCCAAAGAGCTCAATTTTGGTCTCATCTGACCACAACACTTTCACTCAGTTCTCCTCTGAATCATTCAGATCTTCATTGGCAAACTTCAGATGGGCATGTACAGTGAGGAAAAAAAGTATTTAGTCAGCCACCAATTGTGCAAGTTTTCCCACTTAAAAAGATGAGAGAGGCCTGTAATTTTCATCATAGGTACACGTCAACTATGACAGACAAAATGAGAAAAAAGAATCCAGAAAATCACATTGTAGGATTTTTTATGAATTTATTTGCAAATTATGGTGGAAAATAGGTATTTGGTCAATTTTCAAAAGTTTCTCAATACTTTGTTATATACCCTTTGTTGGCAATGACACAGGTCAAACGTTTTCTGTAAGTCTTCACAAGGTTTTCACACAATGTTGCTGGTATTTTGGCCTATTCCTCCATGCAGATCTCCTCTAGAGCAGTGATGTTTTGGGGCTGTCGCTGGGCAACACAGACTTTCAACTCCCTCCAAAGATTTTCTATGGGGTTGAGATCTGGAGACTGGCTAGGCCACTCCAGGACCTTGAAATGCTTCTTACGAAGCCACTCCTTCGTTGCCCAGGCGGTGTGTTTGGGATCATTGTCATGCTGAAAGACCCAGCCACGTTTCATCTTCAATGCCCTTTCTGATGGGAGGAGGTTTTCACTCAAAATCTCACGATACATGGCCCCATTCATTCATTCCTTTACACGGATCAGTCGTCCTGGTCCCTTTGCAGAAAAACAGCCCCAAAGCATGATGTTTCCACCCCCATGCTTCACAGTAGGTATGGTGTTCTTTGGATGCAACTCAGCATTCTTTGTCCTCCAAACACGACGAGTTGAGTTTTTACCAAAAAGTTATATTTTGGTTTCATCTGACCATATGACATTCTCCCAATCCTCTTCTGGATCATCCAAATGCACTCTAGCAAACTTCAGACGGGCCTGGACATGTACTGGCTTAAGCAGGGGGACACATCTGGCACTGCAGGATTTGAGTCCGTGGCGGCGTAGTGTGTTACTGATGGTAGGCTTTGTTACTTTGGTCCCAGCTCTCTGCAGGTCATTCACTAGGTCCCCCCGTGTGGTTCTGGGATTTTTTTTGCTCACCGTTCTTGTGATCATTTTGACCCCACGGGGTGAGATCTTGCGTGGAGCCCCAGATCGAGGGAGATTATCAGTGGTCTTGTATGTCTTCCATTTCCTAATAATTGCTCCCACAGTTGATTTCTTCAAACCAAGCTGCTTACCTATTGCAGATTCAGTCTTCCCAGCCTGGTGCAGGTCTACAATTTTGTTTCTGGTTTCCTTTGACAGCTCTTTGGTCTTTGGAGTTTGGAGTGTGACTGTTTGAACTTGTTATCAGTATAAAAGACACCTGTCCACAACCTCAAACAGGTGCCATTAATACAGGTAACGAGTGGAGGACAGAGGAGCCTCTTAAAGAAGAAGTTACAGGTCTGTGAGAGCCAGAAATCTTGCTTGTTTGTAGGTGACCAAATACTTATTTTCCACCATAATTTGCAAATAAATTCATTAAAAATCCTACGGCCCAGTACATCACTGGGGCAAAGCTTCCTGCCATCCAGGACCTCTATACCAGGCGGTGTCAGAGGAAGGCCCTCAAAATTGTCAAAGACTCCAGCCACCCTAGTCATAGACTGTTCTCTCTGCTACCGCACGGCAAGCGGTACCGGAGTGCCAAGGCTAGGTCCAAAAGACTTCTCAACAGCTTCTACCCCCAAGCCATAAGACTCCTGAACAGCTAATCATGGCTACCCGGACTATTTGCACTGCCCCCCCACCCCATCCTTTTTACGCTGCTGCTACTCTGTTAAGTATTTATGCATAGTCACTTTAACTCTACCCACATGTACATATTACCTCAACTACCTCAACTAGCCGGTGCCCCCGCACATTGACTCTGCAACGGTACCCCCCTGTATATATAGCCTCCCTACTGTCACTTTATTTTACTTCTGCACTTTTTTTCCTCAACACTTTTTTTTTTTGTTGTTGTTTTATTTTTACACTTTTTTTGGTTTAAAATAAATGCACTGTTGGTTAAGGGCTGTAAGTAAGCATTTCACTGTAATGTCTGCACCTGTTGTATTCGGCGCATGTGACCAATAAAATTTGATTTGATTTGATTTGATTTACAATGTATTTTTCTGGAAAAAGTAGTTGACGTGTACCTATGATGAAAATTACAGGCCTCTCTCATCTTTTTAAGTGGGAGAACTTGCACAATTGGTGGCTGACTAAATACTTTTTTTCCCCACTGTATATGTGCTTTCTTGAGCAGGGGGACCTTGCGGGCACTGCAGGATTTCAGTCCTTCACGGCGTAGTGTGTTACCAATTGTTTTCTTGGTGACTATGGTCCCAGCTGCCTTGAGATCATTGACAAGATCCTCCCTTGTAGTTCTGGGCTGATTCCTTACCATTGTCATGATCATTGCAACTCCACGAGGTGAGATCTTGCTTGGAGCCCCAGGCCGAGGGAGATTGACAGTTATTTTGTGTTTCTTCCATTTGCGAATAATCGCACCAACTGTTGTCACCTTCTCACCAGCTGCTTGGCGATGGTCTTGTAGACCATTCCAGCCTTGTGTAGGTCTACAATCTTGTCCCTGACATCCTTGGAGAGCTCTTTGGTCTTGGCCATGGTGGAGAGTTTGGAATCTGATTGATTGATTGCTTCTGTGGACAGGTGTCTTTTATACAGGTAACAAGCTGAGATTAGGAGCACTCCCTTTAAGAGTGTGCTCCTAATCTCAGCTCGTTACCTGTATAAAAGACACCTGGGAGCCAGAAATCTTTCTGATTGAGAGGGGGTCAAATACTTATTTCCCTCATTAAAATGCAAATCAATTTATAATTTTTTTTTTTTTTTATTCTGTCTCACACTGTTCAAATAAACCTACCATTAAAATTATATACTGATCATTTCTTTGTCAGTGGGCAAACGTACAAAATCAGCAGGGGATCAAATACTTTTTTCCCTCACTGTACATATCATCTGTCAGACATTAAGAACCTGGTTTTCCTCTGTGGTGATGGCCTGTGTGCACTATATTGTCTGAACTAGGAAGAGAGGTTGAGAAAGAGTCACGAAGGAGTGTGACAGCTATCTCTTACTGTCTCCTTTTCTCTCTGGGCCATTCGTACTCTCCGGCTTCTTGGGTGGCCTCTGATGTGGTGGTGAAAAAAGACAAAACAAGGACTCGCTACAATTATTTTAATCAGAAAAAAGACTCCACCTGCTCCCGCCAACCCTACCAAATCTCTAAAGGAAAAACATTGAGACAGCGAAGAGCTCCCGACTCTATGCTCTGACTTACGAGATGTCCTGTGTTTGATATTTCGAGGGGCTGTTTGTGATTAGCTGATGGTTTGAGGGTTTGATGGGCGGGTGGCAGGTGGCGGGCGGCGGGCGGGGTGGAGGTTAGGGGGGTGTATGCGCCACTCAATATTAGGAAGGTGTTCTTAATGTTTTGTACACACAGTGTATATGCCTACATCATTCATGCTGATATAGGGGCGTAAGCCTACTGTAAATTGCATTATGGCTGAGCATGGACATTCCAAAGTTGGCAATAAACAAGATTAACTTCATTATTGATAAGGCCTAAAAAGAGAGTGAATAATTCTAATCAAATTCTAAACAAAACAGAACAACTTGTTTTTAAATAGGGTATGTCTAAATACACTAACAGGCACCATAATTTCTCCCTGTGGGCATATAATATTAAAACAATTCTATGGAGAATGGAGGGTGTTACACACATCCAAACTTTTCACAGTAGCTGGACAAAGATCCAATATAAAGAGAAAGGGAGAATGTCCACTCACCGTTATACTGCTGCCAAATATAATGTTTAAAAATAAAAATAAAAATAAGTAATCATAACCATCTTACAGATCAGATCACATTCACACTTCTCCAGAAGTTGCATTGCTTGCGCAACATGGACGTTCTCACCATAAAGCCAGGACAGTCAATCATTCTAATACATTTGGTTTTATTCAAATTTAACAAAAAACAAGCAATCTGTTGTTGTTTTTAATCAACAACAACAATAAATACATGTAAAATGTAATAATATCATAAAATTGCCAGGATAAAAAAGACATGACGCTGGTATAAGACAGGTCAATTACCAATCCTTCCTCAACAGAAAATAGCAGAGCGCTGGCTTTAACAGGTCAAAATTGCAAATGTATGTGTGTTTGACACTAGTGCCGCCTTTAAAGCCAGACGAAAATAGAACGCCAAGCTTGACACAACTTTTGTTCCTCGCCCACTCCATTTTAGTCTAGTCTTATAGTAAAATAAACTGATAAATGTTAGGTCTGGGATCAGTTTCATATGATCAGGTTTGGGTGTTGGACTGGGTTTTGATGTCATTGTGAAACTACTCTCCTACAGGTGTGAGGAACTACCTGAAAGAAGCCTTGGTGAACATCATCACTGTCCATGCAGAGGTAATTCTTGTACTCGAAGATGTGCGCGACTAAAATGACTTGCCTTTCTGTACAATGACTTGAACCTCTCACAGTTACTTACATTGAATCTACCCCTCTCTCTCTCTCTCTCTCTCCCTTTTAGGTCTTCACAGTCTCTAAGGACCTAGTTCCCAGGGTTTTGACTAGAATCATTGAGGGTGTGGCGGAAGAGATGAGTCGCCTGATGCAGTGTGTCTCCTCCTTCAGCAAGGACGGAGCCATTCAGGTACACACACACTTTCAGTTTGCCACTCTCTCTGGTGAGTCAAATGAAGACCCCCTACCCCAACTGGGGGGATTTACCCTATTTTACTGATCACAGTAACCCCCAACTACCTCTTCCAAACCAGCTGTACTACCTACTATATGTGACTTGTTTCAGGAAACTAGGCATATGTCGCCAGTCACGACTTCACAGGAGAGGCATTTGAACTTTTATTTTTATTTATTTATCAAAATGCAGTTTTTTTTTGTTGCAGAAATGCCTTCTGGAACGTTTGAACTTTCAGGTGTCTTAAGAAACAAACTTGTATGCCGTCTGTAAATACGGATAAAGTTGAATTTACGAACCTAGTTGGTTTAGCCACAAAAAAAGACAAGAACCTTCCCGCTAGCCATGATTGGCTGAGATAATGAGTGGGCTGGACATGCCGAGAGATGAGTTTCGGATTGGTCTGCCGTGTAGCATCTTCTGTCTATTAAATGAGCTGCTTGTTATGTGTAGATAATCCTTTCTACTGCAGTTCTTTCTAAATAAATAACGTTAGCCATGGAAAACTGCAAATGTGTTGCTAATGCTCTCAATAACATTGCTGTCCTGAACTGATCAGGCACTATCGTCTCTACTTTTATCCAATGTAAAAAAACACAATTTCAGATTTTGCTACATAAGAATGTATCGAGGTGGTCGGTCACATATACGGCTCACTCTACAGCCTTAACTGTTGATACTTGAAGTACCCTAAGTAACTTTTATCCATTCCTTTCATTCTCTTTATCCTCTTTCATCCCTCTCTTTCTCTCTCTGCAGGCCCGTTTGGAGATAGATTCTCTGAGAGATGCTGTAGCCTCCTACCTGTCATCTGAGAGCCAGTAAGACACATAGAACCCTCACTGACACTGTACTGTACTACACCACTACACACCTGTGTACCATACGTACACATACACTACACTTCCATACACTGTGCATACTATACACATGAACATGAATTACAGAGATTATACAGTACTCTCACTTTCATTCCTGTAAATCACATTCATCATCCCCACACCTCCCACCAGCCACTCTCTAGTCTACAGTATATTACCTGGTGGTATATGGAAAAGGAAGCAAAGCAGAACTTTACCGGCAATCCAACTAGTTTAATCCGGTTCTGTGACTTAATATGAGTCTGTCTTTGTGTTATTGTATGTCTCTCTCCTTCTGTGTGTAGTATAATGTTTGTGTTAGTATGTGTGTTGTAGTGTTAACTGTGTATATCTTGTTTCAGCGCCAGCTTCAAGCAGGCTCTGGAGGTCCTTCCCCAGCTACACAGTGGAGCAGACAAAAAGTAAGTAATTCATCAAGGTCATACTGGTCCCAGTTAATACCTGTTACACCCTCATACTGGGACACAATACATAGGACACAGGTTGACGTTTATTGGGATGAGTCTTGTCCTGGAGCCAGAACTGAGCGATTTCCGCTAGATGGGCCAGCTGCAAAGTAAAAATGGGCTATATTGTAAAAATGTATGAAAACAAAAATGACCTTTTTGGTCTTAATTGAAGGTAGGGTTAGGCATTAGGGTTAGCAGTGTGGTTAAGGTTAGGGTTAGGTTTACAATCAGATTTTATGACTTTGTGGCTGTGCCAGCTAGTGACCATTCTGCAGAGCTGCCTCTAGAACAAGATTCATGACGAAAAACGCCAACCTGCACAATACAGTGGGGATGATTCTACCTCTTTTTTTTCTCCTCTTCATACAGTTGAAGTCGGAAGTTTACATACACCTTAGCCAAATACATTTCAACTCAGTTTTTCACAATTCCTGACATTTAATCCTAGTCAAAATTCCCTTTTTTATGTCAGTTAGGATCACCACTTTATTTAAAGTTTGAAATGTCCAAATAATAGTAGAGAGAATGATTTATTTCAGCTTTTATTTCTTTCATCACATTCCCAGTGGGTCAGAAGTTTACATACACTCAATTAGTATTTGGTAGCATTGCCTTTAAATTGTTTAACTTGGGTCAAACGTTTCGGTAGCCTTCCACAAGCTTCCCACAATAAGTTGGGTGAATTTTGGCCCATTCCTCCTGACAGAGCTGGTGTAACTGAGTCAGGTTTGTAGGCCTCCTTGTTCGCACACGCTTTTTCAGTTCTGCCCACACATTTTCTATAGAATTGAGGTCAGGGCTTTGTGATGGCCACTCCAATACCTTGACTTTGTTGTCCTTAAGCCATTTTGCCACAACTTTGGAAGTATGCTTGGGGTCATTGTCCATTTGGAAGACCCATTTGCAACAAAGCTCTAACTTTCTGACTGATGTCTTGAGATGTTGCTTCAATATATCCACATAATTTTCCTCCCTCACGATGTCATCTATTTTGTGAAGTTCACCAGTCCCTCCTGCAGCAAAGCACCCCCACAGCATGATGCTGCCACCCCCGTGCTTCACGGTGGGGATGGTGTTCTTCGGCTTGCAAGCAACCCCCTTTTTCCTCCAAACATAACGATGGTCATTATGGCCAAACAGTTCTATTTTTGTTTCATCAGACCAGAGGACATTTCTCCAAAAAGTAAGATCTTTGTCCCCATGTGCAGTTGCAAACTGTAGTCTGGCTTTTTAATGGCGGTTTTGGAGCAGTGGCTTCTTCCTTGCTGAGCGGCCTTTCAGGTTATGTCGATATAGGACACGTTTTACTGTGGATATAGATACCTTTGTACCTGTTTCCTCCAGCATCTTCACAAGGTCCTTTGCTGTTGTTCTGGGATTGATTTGCACTTTTCGCACCAAAGTACGTTCATCTCTAGAAGACAGAACGCGTCTCCTTCCTGAGCGGTATGACGGCTGCGTGGTCCCATGGTGTTTATACTTGCGTACTATTGTTTGTACAGATGAACATGGTACCTTCAGGCGTTTAGAAATTGCTCCCAAGGATGAACCAGACTTGTGGAGGTCTACAAAAAAATGTCTGAGGTCTTGGCTGATTTCTTTTGATTTTCCCATGATGTCAAGCAAAGAGGCACTGCGTTTGAAGGTAGGCCTTGAAATACATCCACAGGTACACCTCCAATTGACTCAAATGATGTCAATTAGCCTATCAGAAGCTTCTAAAGCCATGACATCATTTTCTGGAATTTTCCAAGCTGTTTAAAGGCACAGTCAACTTAGTGTATGTAAACTTCTGACCCACTGGAATTGTGATACAGTGAATTATAAATGAAATCATCTGTCTGTAGACAATTGTTGCAAAAATGACTTGTGTCATTCACAAAGTAGATGTCCTAACCGACTTGCCAAAACTTTAGTTTGTTAACAAGACATTTGTGGAATTGTTGAAAAACGAGTTTTAATGACTCCAACCTATGTGTATGTAAACTTCTGACTTGACTCTTTCTCTCTCCCTCCCCCTCTCTCTCTCTAGGTTACTGGAGGAGCTGCTGAATAAGTTTAAGAGCAGTATGCAGCTCCAGCTCACCTGTTTCCAGCCCTCTAATGTCCAGCCTGTCAAGAGATGAGTCTGTTCAACATCTCTTCAACATTAATATAATGGCACTATATATCTCTATCTATCTATCAAATATGTGCAGTGCCTATTTACTTGCATTGATAAACTCTTGTAGCTTTTTGTTAAATTGTTATAAGATCTATACTAGAATGGAAATTAGCCTTTTTTAACACTAATCTCATTTTTTTATCTTAGATATGTACACTCATTTTCTGAGTTAATCTCACAGTTAATCTGGGCAGCCCCTCTACTGTGGAATCATGCTAATTATGCTATTGTTGGATGGCCACTCATCTAGAAATCAGCATCCAGTCCGTTGTAGGTAAGCTAGGTCATGCTAGCCTGGTGTTCGAGACAGGACTGTCTCTCCTCTACTGAGAAACCAGTCAACATACACTACCAGTCAAAGGTTTGGACACACTTACTCATTCAAGGGTTTTTCTTCATTTTTACTATTTTTTACATTGTAGAATAATAGTGAAGACATCAAAACTATGAAATAACACATATGGAATCATGTAGTAACCAGAAAAGTGTTAAACAAATCCAAATATATTTTATATTTGAGATTCTTCAAATAGCCACCCTTTGCCTTGATGACAGCTTTGCACAGTCTTGGCATTCATGATGTAGTCACCTGGAATGCATTTCAATTAACAGGTGTGCCTTCTTAAAAGTTAATTTGTGGAATTTCTTTCCTTCTTAATGTGTGTGAGCCAATCAGTTGTGTTGTGACAAGGTATGGGTGATATACAGAAGATAGCCCTATTTGGTAAAAGACCAAGTCCATATTATGACAAGAACAGCTCAAATAAGCAAAGAGAAACGACAGTCCATCATTACTTTAAGACATGAAGGTCAGTCAATACGGAACATTTCAAGAACTTTGAAAGCTTCTTCAAGTGCAGTCGCAAAAACCATCAAGCACAATGATGAAACTGGCTCTCACGAGGACCGCTACAGGAAAGGAAGACCGAGAGTTACCTCTGCTGCAAAGGATAAGTTCATTAGAGTTACCAGCCTCAGAAATTGCAGCCCAAATAAATGCTTCACAGAGTTCAAGTCACAGACACAACTCAACATCAACTGTTAAGAGGGGACTGTGTGAATCAGGCCTTCATGGTAAAATTGCTGCAAAAAAAAACACTACTAAAGGACACCAATAAGAAGAAGAGAACTGATTGGACACCAATAAGAAGAAGAGAACTGATTGGGCCAAGAAACACGAGAAATGGACATTAGACCGGTGGAAATATGTCCTTTGGTCTGGAGTCCAAATGTATTTATTTTTTGTTCTAACCGTCGTAGCTTTGTAAGACGCGGTGTGGGTGAACGGATGATCTCCGCATGTGTAGTTCCCACCGTAAACCATGGAGGAGGAGGTGTTATGGTGTGGGGGTGCTTTGCTGGTGACACTGTCTGTGACTTATTTAGAATTCAAGGCACACTTAACCAGCATGGCTACCACAGCATTCTGCAGCGATACGCCATACCATCTGGTTTGGGCTTAGTTGGACTATGATTTGTTTTTCAAAAGGACAATGACCCAACACACCTTCAGGCTGTGTAAGGGCTATTTTACCAAGAAGGAGAGTGATGGAGTGCTGCATCAGATGACCTGGCCTCCACAATCCCCCGACCTCAACCCAGTTGAGATGGTTTGGGATGAGTCGGACGGCAGAGTGAAGGAAAAGCAGCCAACAAGTGCTAAGCATATGTGGGAACTCCTTCAAGACAGTTGGAAAAGCATTCCAGGTGAAGCTGGTTGAGAGAATGCCAAGAGTGTGCAAAGCTGTCATCAAGGCAAAGGGTGGCTATTTGAAGAATCTCTAATATAAAATATATTTTGATTTGTTTACATTTACATTTTAGTCATTTAGCAGACGCTCTTATCCAGAGCGACTTACAGTTAGTGAGTGCATACATTTTCATACTGGCCCCCCGTGGGAAACGAACCCACAACCCTGGCATTGCAAGCGCCATGCTCTACCAACTGAGCTACAGGGGACTAACACTTACAATGTAGAAAATAGTTTAAAAAATAAAGAAAACCCTTGAATGAGTAGGTGTCCAAACGTTTGACTGGTACTGTGTGTGGTCCCTGCTTTCTGTATGTTCATAAAGAAACTGCACTTGGTCATTATTATGTGTCTTCAATAGGAGGTCATATGTTTTTGTGTTGCCAGTGCTGCTCTGTACTCTTATTACTCTCTCAATTGCCAAATAGACACATTTAAATTGTTTCTGTTCTTGTGACTGCCACAGTTGTGACAGTGAAAGAGAAAAAGTAAAAGAGAGAGCATGTAGTCAGATAGTCAGCTTCAGCCATACAACAGTACGTTAATAGCCAATATAGTCACCTCAGGAGGTGTACTGACAGCTCACACAATGTCTGGCACACTAGAGTCTGGGGTAGGGCCGTTTAGGGTGTTGGTAGGGCGTGGTGGGGTGGGGAGTGGTCTATTTTAACTCCTTAGTTACTGGCTGTAAAAAAATTGCACAGAGATTCGGTTGTAGGTGTGAGGAGTTAGTAATAACTGAACTACGATGGATGGTTGCGGTTTTGCAGTGTGTGGTCGTATGTCAGACGTAGTAGTAGACGAAGGCTGCCACACCCATGACTTGTGAGCTGAGCCGGGGGGTTATCACAGGGTGTGTCCTTAGAACCGGACCTGTGGGGTTTTATCACAAAATATTGTTACATTTTACCCACATTCATGACTGATTATGAAAACATCACTCATTACAAGACAACTCAACACAAAACACAATGGGACTTGAATAGCCTACCAGCAATCAACTAGCTCTACCCAAAAATGCTAATAAAAGATTGTGAGATTGAAATGTTTTACAACAACATGTAAGTTTTAGTTTTTTTATTATTATTAGACAATCATTTGTCATATTATTCTTGTTACTAAATATTGTTTGTTTTTGGGTTTGATTTTATTTTTGGACAATCTTGAAAAATAGATTTCGTCCTGCAAAATGTCTAATAAATAAATAAATGTTCTTATCGACAAAACAAACCCAAAAACGTGTTAATGTTCTTATTGCCACTATCGACTGTTCCAGAAAAGTCAAACCTCACATTATCAGCAGCAGCAGCACAACCCCAAAATGCAGACATTGTTTCTCGGGCCAGGCAGGGGGAAAGTAATTTAGACAGGTTGTTTTGATTGTCTGTTCTCTCTGGTCTGTTCTAAACTTAGCTCTGTCTCTGTAGTGTCCACCCACGGATTAATTCACAACAGCAGTCGGTTCAAAGCCCTCAGGTCTCATCCTTCTTCCACTGGTAGACTGTTTACAGGAACAGAGAGGTGAGGTGAGGAGGGGAGTTTTACACAACACTTCTGTTCCATTCGGGACGCCGCAGGTCGAGAGGCCCAGGCCTATCAATCAAAACATGTTTACATTGATCTCATTCTCTGAAATAGGTGTTCTTGGCGCTGGCAGTAGGTAGGGGGATTTTTGTAGGTAGGTGGTGGAGTGGAAAGTGTCAGGCAAACCAGTTGGTTATCCGTGTTGATTATTATCAAAAATCTGTTCTCTTGCCATTGTATGTTTTCTCATTTATTTAAGTTGGCTGGATGTGTGCACATCGTTCTGTGTGATTACACTGACAGCCATTTCTCCTCTATAAGGTATTACAATGTGGTATCAAGTGGTGTCATCAGCCTTGTTTACCTTATCAGACAGTGGATAAGTAACCACACTAATGTGTCACTCTTTCTGGGGTTTTCACTATTCTTCCATGGAATTTCAAATGTTGTTGGGCATGTCAAAGGCACCCCAGGAAACAGTTCTAAACCCTCTTCAGTTCTAATGCCCCGCTGGGGCGGAAAGAGAGGCCGACCTCTTCCTCTTCCTCCTCCCCTGGTGATGTCATCACACACTGTTTATGACAGCGTTCTCCTGTGTGTGTTTGAATAACCAGCATCACCCTGCATCTGAACCAGGCTTCCTGTACACACACACACATACAAAGGATGTCACTTCCCCACGAATCCCTTATCTAACATGAGCCCTCTTTCTATTCATTTGATGTAAGTCTCAAAACATGCAACATTTTTGCTTAAAACATTTTTATTATTCGATTACAAAACATGTTCCCAATGTATGACAGAGTGAGCTTATCTAAAGGTTCAGCATGCTAGTCAGTGTTTCAGTGTGGTCAAATCTCAGTTGTAGTCTTTGGTCATCTCTGAACTGCAGTATTTATGCTTAGGAGAATGTGATGCTATACACTATTAGTAACAGGTCAAATATATTTACAGAAGAAAGCATGTCAACATCATTATGGCCATACTACACACGATCATACAATAAAATGCACATACAAAAACACACAACTCTAGAGCATGTCAATACAATCACGACAGCTGTCAGTTCCGTTGCAAAATGGCGGTCAGTTTGAGTCTTTAAGGCCAAAGGATGGCTCCCAGAGAGTGATTGAAATAGTTTGGTCCATAAGAATTTGGGGTGTTGACTCCATTACAACACACATCTACAGCATACAACTATCTGTTACAGTCTCTTCAGTGGTCCCAGTGTACGTTCCTCCATAGCCTGGCTTGGTTTGGTTCAGTTTGGCTTGGATTGGCATAGTTCTGCTTCAGCTTTGAGGGAAATCTGGGATCCAGAGTACAGTGTAACGACTCTCTCCTCCTCTACCCAGGCTTTCCTGTCTCTCCCTCTCTCCTCCTTTCCCCATGTCCTGCACCGCAGTCTGACTGTGATCAGAGATGGTCAGATTAGTCAGTCCTGCAGGGTGTTGCTATGGTGATGTGTGATGACCCTCTGGTAGTCCTCGGTTACGGCAGGGGTCATGCTGTGTTCCGTGACCCCAGGGAGAGGGAGGTCGTAGCTGCGGTAGTAGTGTCCGCTGGTCTGCTGGTGCTGGGTGTAGTACAGGAGCTGCCTGGCAAACATGGGCTCTACCTGCAGGAGTGGAGGGGAACAGCAGTGATTACTACTGGTGTCACTGAGAGGTGGTGGTGGTAAGGGGGTTAGGTAGTGAGATAGGGGGACTGTACTGTAAATGCTCTGTATGAGTTTGGGTGTGAAGTATACAAGGAATCAAACTGATATTTTGTGAGAGATGGATGGAGGTTAGGGGGTGTATAGAGGGCCAGGATTAGGTGATGGGGTGTGAGTAAAGTAGAGTGGGCATTGAAGACAGGTAGAGGTCATGTTGATGTTAGGTGATGGTTATATACCTGTACAGTGAGGGTCCTCTGTCTCTGGGGATCCAGACACTCGTCTCCGAAGCTCAGCAGCACCTGTAGACGTGGAGGGGGCCGACAGTGGAGGGCATAGCCCTGCAACTCTGGTAGACAGAGATGAATAAAATAGAGGTTAATAGGGTCTAGGTGGTCAGGTTAGGTACAGAGGAGCGGCATGGAGGGGGGCGACCGTGGAGGGAATAACCCTGCAGCTCTGAGACTGCAGGGAGGAAGGGAGAGAGACAGGGGTGGTAGAGATGGTTAGGTAGCGAAGATAGATTGTACCTCTGAGAGACAGGGAAGTAGAGAAGGATTCAATCTAGAGGGTAGGGTTGGGTAGAGATAAATAAGTTTGCAAGGAGGGGATATTGGGTCGATAAAGGGTTAATTAATTCCTATGAACTGGTGTGGTGGTGACTAGAGGTCATGTGACTGGATGGAAAGTCCTGTGTCTATATGCAAATTTAAACCATTCAAGCTGAACACATCTGTGGTAGGGCAAGGTGGGCGGGGATGAGGTCACATGACTGTGTGTAATGTCCCATTCTTAAAGGTGTGTGGTGGGGAGTATGGAGGCAATCTCAACATAATATTTACAGGAAAGGAGGATGTGTCTGCTTCCTGTCCATGACCAGGAAACAGCATGACAACAGAGTGTGGTTGGGTTTGCCAGTGAATGAGATACGTGTGTGTGTGCGTGTGCGTGTGCCTGCCTGCAGTTTATGTTAACTTACCTGTGAGGTAGTCTTGTGTGTGCAGTAGTTTACAGGTGTGTTCTCTCTCCAGCTTGTTGGGTTTGTCTATGTAGGATGATAACCCTCCCTCCCAGAACACTCTCTCCTGGCACAGCCGCCGGGCGTAGAGGCCATCTGGGGCCATCCACAGCAGCACACCCCTCTCCAGGGTACAACGAGGGGGGCTGGGGGGACACTCCTCCCCCCTCCCCAGGGCTGGGAGGCTGTCCAGGGGTAGAGGCACCAGGTCTGGACCCACAGTGGGGGAATATAGCTTGTTGTCTGGGGAGCAGGGAGCGATGCGACAGCCCTCTGGACTGGAGGTGGTCACCTCCCTCCACAGAGAGTCCCGGTAAAACACTGACACATGTAACCGCATATCTGGGGTGGAGGAAGGAGTACAGGTAAGAGAAACAGCATAAAACCAGGGTATTTAACACTTGGAATACAGTATCAATTTGCCTTAAATATAATGCGCAATTACGTGGACAAAAATATTAATATTATTTTCAAGTCAAACGTGAAGTAAATAAGCGTGTGCGTGTATACTGTACCTGAGAGTGTCTCTGCTGATCTCATGCTGGTGTCCAGTGTGAAGGGGGAGGGCTGGGCGTCAGTAGGGCTGTAGGTGTAGAAGGACCCTGTGATCTGGTACCCTGCAAACACAGAGGAGAAACAGGACCTCAATAAAGTCACTTATTCCAACACACCAGAAAAGCATACACGCAAACATCATGGGCCCGAATCGATGACCATGAATTGAGGTCAATGGATGACTTACGCAAAAAGTGAGTTATTTGAGCAGATGTCAAGTTAGGGTAACTTTGCATAACTACAGATACATAACATCCACACAGCCTACATTAGATTCTCTCACACAAGTAAAGATCTATGCTGTGGTATTAGGCCTACCGTTGTCCATGCTGGGTCCTTGGGCCCAGGATAGACTGCGTGAGGGGTAGGGGCACTGGGCATAGGGCAGCTCAGGAAGAGAGGCCTGCTCTGGAAGATAGTCCCTCATCCAGCCTCGCTCTGCACTGGGCATGTACCCCGACATCTATGGAGAAAGAGATACCAGTCAGTCAAACCATCACCTCTACACACAGGACCACCAACTACGATTCATAATATGAATGGAAGAGGAAGTAGAACTGAGACTGGGCTCATGTGACATTGTGTGCTAATCACTCTGAATGCGTACGTGTGTGTCTGTGTGTGTTCATGCCTGAAAGTGTGGGTTCTGAGTATCTCGTCATGTGATGTTGATGACACACTCGCCAATCCATGCAGCTGTTCTCTCTCCTCCCAACATCTTCACTCTCACTCACTAACACACATACAGACACACACGTAAACACACACACCACACACAAAACCTCCAAGAGGTGAGAGTTTACAGATGACCATAATTACCTGTGTCTGCAGGGCGGGGTATGAGGGCTGCGTGGGGTACCTCAGAGGACTCAGGGGGCTGCCACTATCCTCCTGTTTGGATCCTGATAGCAAGAAATCTGTTACACAGGAGTAATAATTTAAACACACACCACATGAGTAATCACACACAGACATTCAACGCACTCTTAAATTATGAGAGAGTCGATAGTAGTTTGTAATTACACATGAATAATCAAGACTTTATCGTAAAAGTTCATAACAAATATTACATTTCAGACAGAGAGAGGAAATGGTTGAAACTACAGTCTTGTGGTTTGGCAGCCTGATGTTCTAGTATACTGAAATGTTTCTATAGTTTCTATTATTTACACCCAAGTCACTGGCCCCTATCAAAACCTGCTGGGCTATTCAGTGTGTGGGTGCCATCTGTTTCCTTCTGATAGTGGTGCATATAATAAAAACATATTATATATATGAAGTGTATATGAAAGTTGATTCAATAACTTTCTATAGGTTTTTCCACTATTTTAATATTTCCAAGTAAATGCAAAGTAACTGAAACTGACGCTTCTTGGCGCCCTCCGGGATGATCCGGTAGACTTTGTAAGGGTCTGAGATGTCCAGCTGACTTCGCTGCACGAGCTCCTCGAAGTCGTTACTTTTGTTGAGCGCGCACCGCAGGCGTGTCTTCCACGTTGGCGGGTCGGGTTTGTCGATGCCCTCCCGAAACTTGCCTTTAAACAGCGCCCAAGCCTGCAGAAAAGTCACAGAAAACGGAGCCGTCAGACACGGGTAACGAATCACCGGTGCAGTTGTGCATGAGTTGAAGGTAAATCCTGTGCGTAATGGTTTTGGCACCTCAACCTACCCAAAGCTTAGTTGTAGTTAGTAGTTGTAGCAGTAGCTTTTATTAGTTGTAGGCCTAGTAGTTGTAAAATAGATTGTTTAAGCTGTTAATGTACGTTTTTATTTTTTTATTATTATTTCATTGTTATTATTACAAGACAGTAGTTGCTATATTATTCTTGTTACTAAGTATTATTATTTTTTAAATATATTTGGACACTTGAAAACGAGATGCTACAGCTACAGCTCAGTCTATTATCTATCCTGTTGCCTAGTCACTTTCCCCTACTTATATGTACATAGCTACCTCAATTACCTCGTACCCCTGCTAATAGACTCGGTACTGGTACTTGTATAGCCATGTTATTTTACTCGTTATTGTTATTCGTTATTCACTGTGCATTTATTCCTCGTGTCACTATTTCTATTTTTTGTGGCTCAAATGTATGCACTCACTACTGTAAGTAGCTCTGGATAAGAGTGTCTGCTAAATTACTCAAATGTAATAGCCTACACATCTCTCGCACATGCAGTGCGTAAATGCAGAATGTTGGAGACATTCTTTTGAGGCCCCGTACCATACAGTAGCCTACCTTGAAGAGAGCGGCATCCTCGTCGCGGTTGTAGTCCTGCTTGCCCGCGTGCTTCCATGGTATCCTGAAAATGCACTTGTCGTCGTTCTCCCAGACCAGGCCCGGGTACTTCCCGGTATCCACCTGCTCGATTAGCCACGAGCGGAGCTTTCCGTTCCCACAGCTCACCGTAGACATGCCGTAGTCCGACTCAGGGTTCATCTCTAGCCAAGAGACAGGTGCATGGTCAGGACAGTATAGGCTATAATGGTAAATATTATAGGCACTAAGATATTTAGATTACAAATGATCCATAACACATGAATTTGCCTAAAAATACCTGCGGAAATGTTATGGCTGGAGTTTTTTGTGTCAAATTGCTTGCGAAGACTAAACTTGCAGACCAATTATGTAAATTGCATTAAAATAATTTAAGAATAGGCTACATTCACTTTTGAACACTTACTTGAATGTAAACTTATTTTTTGCTGCAGGTAGCCTATAGATTTGAGCGGGAGGAGAGCAAGTTTCCTTGACTTACCGCTAAAACTCGAAACCCCTCTGAGTTTTGAAATCAATCAGTCTCGAAAGATCATAACGCAGCGTGACAACTCAATTTAAATCAATTGTAGATGAGGGCGGGGCGCTATGAAGTCGAGCGGGGATGCTGGGCTGTTTGCATCTGTGAACCTTAATGATGTGCGCGCCTCCCGTAAACAGCAGGGGAAACCCTCACGAGCGTCAGTCGCAGAAAAAGACACCCGCAACCCCGGAAAGTGGGACAATCTGTTCACCAGTCGAGAGCAAAGCAATTCTTTGAAATTATATAAACCAATGATATAGGCTAATTCTACATCCTGTCACGGAAAGCCTATAGCCTATTTGATTTTCATGATAAAATCTGAGCCTAATTTTCTATCTCCAGTAGGCTATAAATGAATACAAGTCTATCAATCGAAATCCAACTTTCAAATAAAGACCCAACAAACTTCATCAGTGAACCATTTTTTAATAAGTAGCCTATATAATCATTATAATTCGACATAGGCTAATTATCATTGTGTTAAAGCAGATCGCCTAGTGGGGATAAAATGAAAATGCAGCTGTAATTGGTGATATAGGCTAACTTTAACCACCTCTATAGACATGGAAACAGTAGACACATTTTAAGTAATTTTTTATATGCCATGGTCAAGAATAATCAATCAAAATCTCTGTTGGGCTATAAAGATACAGTGCTGCGTTTCACATAACTTTTAGGCCTATGAACATACAGAGATGTATGTTCCTAGTATTAGGCTCAACACAAAGCACACACACAAACCCACACACATCACACTCACAGAGGGGGAGGGAGTGTGTAATGGACGGAATTGGGGGAGATAGACATTAGAGGTTTACTCTCTCTCTCTCTCTCTCTGTGTAATATATGCTTGTAATCTATCTTTCCTAGGTGTTCAGATTGACTGCTCTTGCATGTTGCTGTGACTGTTAGGGGACAGGGGAGACCAAGACCCCAGTCGCACACAGGGACCACTGAGAAATCCCCTCATGACAATCTGTACGTTTTTTGTAATACAAAAATAAATAATTGCACATGATGTCTCCAGGAGAAAAGTTAGTACATTTTCAGTTGGTCTAACCTACAGTTGGTTGGACTGAATAAGAAACTCAGTCCCACCAATATCTATGAAGTGAGAAACAGTGATTGGCTGGGCATTGGGTGAGTGACAGGTGTCTGGCGTGGGTTGAGCAGGCAGGAGACATGGGGTCATGTGTTGCTGGTAGCTAGCTGAGCTGCTGTTGCTGTGGCCGTTGCTATGGACTCACTGATGGCCTGAGACTTCTGCAACAGAAGGGCTCCGATCTCCTCTTCATCATTAAAAAGGTTCTCCTTATACCTGTCCTTAAACCATACCCTATACTGAGGACAGAGACGGAGACAGGAGAGAGTGTCACAAGAGAGGGAGAGTTGAGGAGGAGAGAGAGAGTCATAAGAGAGGGAAAGATGAGAGGGAGCAGAGAAAGAGATTGATAGAGAGAAGACCCAAGAAAGAGTAGAGAACTTGTGAGAGAGAGATAAATAGATGAGAGGAGGAGAGAGAGAGAGGCAATAATCAGTGGGTGAAGAAAAGAGCAATAAAGACGACTGTCACTGACCTGTGCCACCTCTAGGTTCTCAAAGTCCTCTAGCTGGCGTAAGAACCCCACGTTAGGTCCAGCACAAGGCCGTACCACCCTCACCGCAGCTAACGACTCCACCCAGCCCCGCCCAGTAACTGTCATGATGTACGCCACCACCAACGTAACACTACGGGACACACCTGCCACACTGGGAACACATCAGTCAATCAATTACAGAAATTATAATGTCATCAATACATTCAATCAAATATCAATACATAAACAATTCTCACCAGTGGACCAGGCAGCCTTTCCCTTTGAGTCTGGACTCATGGATGAATACGATGCTGTCCTTAAAAAACGGGGTCCTGAAGACAGATATAAAGCTTGGACTAGGACTGCAGTTTGAGCTAATAAACCAACATTTAGGGGATGTAAAATGTAATGTATATTTTTTGTTAATTAACCACGCACACGTACACACACACCAACGCACCTGGCACGTACACACACACACATCGTACACACACACAAACACAGACCCACACACACACACACTTACAGGTTTTGTTTGGAGGCATCAGCAGCAGGAATGCAGAGGTATTTCATCTCCTGTGGAAGAGAACAACTGGAGCTGAACAACAAGTCAACAACATATAAAACATTGACAGACCCAATTTGACGTTTCACATTATGCATTTGGGTCTATAAACATTGTGTCATAATACAGTATGCCAACATACTGTGTCTAGTTATCAGGCTCTTTATCACTTCAGTTTGAACTCTGTGATGTTGGGGTCTGCTGCTCTCTTCCTCTTTCAGGTCCTAAAAGGGACAAACCCCATGCAGTAGCACATCATGACAATGCAGGTTTACTGTGTGTGTGTGTGTGTGTGTGTACATGTGTGTGTGCATGTGTGTGTTCATGTGTGTGTGTGTGTGTGTGTGTGTGGTGAATGTGCACCTGACAGCTGATGGTGAACCATGGCCTCAGCGGGCAGAAACTAAGCATCCCGTTATGACTGCACCTCTGCAAAAAACCCTCTGCGATACAGATAGCCACGGTAGTCCTCCAACGGGACAGCTCAGACAGCCACACGCACACACACACACACACACACACCACCGATAGACAGTAGAACGGATGTAAGAGCAGTCCGAAATCTCATTTTGACTTTATATTTTCTAATCATCTAATTAATGAGTCATCATAATCTAATCAAATCCAATTGTATTTGCCACATGCGCCGAAAACAACAGGAGTAGACCTTACAGTGAAATGCTTACTTACAAGCTCTTAACCAACAATGCAAATAGTCCGGGTAGCCATGATTAGCTGTTCAGGAGTCTTATGGCTTGGGGGTAGAAGCTGTTAAGAAACCTTTTGGACCTAGACTTGGTGCTCCGGTACCGCTTGCCGTGCGGTAGCAGAGAGAACAGTCTATGACTAGGGTGGCTGGAGTCTTTGACAATTGTTAGGGCCTTCCTCTGACGCCGCCTGGTATAGAGGTCCTAGATGGCAGGAAGCTTGGCCCCAGTAATGTACTGGGCCGTATGCACAACCCTCTGTTATGCCTTGCGATCGGAGGCTGAGCAGTTGCCATACCAGGCGGTGATGCAACCAGTCAGGATGCTCTCAATGGTGCAGCTGTATAACTTTTTGAGGATCTGAGGACCCATGCCAAATCTTTTCAGTCTCCTGAGGGGGAATAGGCTTTGTCGTGCCCTCTTCACGACTTTCTTGGTGTGTTTGGACCATGATAGTTTGTTGGTGATGTGAACACCAAGGAACTTGAAGCTCTCAACCTGTTCCACTACAGCACCGTCGATCGGAATGGGGGTGTGCTCAGTCCTCTTTTTTAACCTGTTGTCCACAATCATCTCCTTTGTCTTGATCACGTCACGTTGAGGGAGAGGTTGTTATCCTGGCACCACACGGCCAGGTCTCTGACCTCCTCCCTATAGGCTGTCTCATCGTTGTCGGTGATCAGGCCTACCACTGTTGTAGCGTCTGCAAACTTAATGATGGTGTTGGAGTCGTGCCTGGCCATGCAGTCATGGGTGAACAGGGAGTGCAGGAGGGGACTGAGCATGCACGCCTGAGGGGCCCCCGTGTTGAGGATCAGTGTGGCAGATGTGTTGTTACCTACCCTTACCATCAGGAAGTCCAGGATCCAGTTGCAGAGGGAGGTGTTTAGTCCCAGGGTCCTTAGCTTAGTGATGAGCTTTGAGGGCACTATGGTGTTGAACGCTGAGCTGTAGTCAATTAATAGCATTCTCACGTAGGTGTTCCTCTTGTCCAGGTGGGAAAGGGCAGTGTGGAGTGCAATAGAGATCACATCATCAGTGGATCTGTTGGGGCGGTATGCACATTGGAGTGGGTTGAGGGTTTCTGGGATAATGGTGTTGATGTGAGCCATGACCAGCCTTTCAAAGCACTTCATGGCTACAGACGTGAGTGCTATGGGTCGGTAGTCATTTAGGCAGGTTATCTTAGTGTTCTTGGGCACAGGGACTATGGCGGTCTGCTTGAAACATGTTGGTATTACAGACTCAGTCAGGGACATGTTGAAAATGTCAGTGAAGACACTTGCCAGTTGGTCAGCGCATGCTCGGAGTACACGTCCTCGTAATCAGTCTGGCCCTGCGGCCTTGTGAATGTTGACCTGCTTAAAAGTCTTACTCACTTCGGCTACGGAGAGCTTGATCACATAGTCATCCGGAACAGCTGACGCTCTCATGCATGCTTCAGTGTTGCTTGCCTCGAAGCGAGCATAGAAGTGAGCATAGTTACCGACAATACAACACTGTCAAGATCAATAATCATCATAGCAATTTGTCATGACCACAACTTACCACACAACTCTAACCAAAACTGTGTGCAATGAATTAGATTTAGAAAAATACACCAAAATTAATACATAGAAGATTAATGCTGAGAAGCATTCCCAATTTCTGCTAAAATTGCTAATGTCAACTTCACCAGGTTGCTAACTAACCTTTTCCCTCTCCAAAACCACAGAGCCATCTTCCCAGAATTCAATCACTATAACCATGAAAGTTGACTGTTGGGTATGCAAATAAACCCTCCATCCGGCTTGCAATTAGTCTGCAAAGAGCTGAGTCATAGAGGCTTGCTAAACAGTTAGAATGATAAAGTATTCTCCAGTAGTGTGACGACTCGCCAACGATTTACTTATAGTTGTATTATTATAGTAATTGGCCCAAGTGGGAATAGGCCTTTATCCCTGTTATAACCAAGGATGAAGTTAGTGAAACAGCATTGTTTTGAGTCTTTGTGTTCAATATGTACTTTGAATATAACCTGACCAGACTGGGTAGTGATACTGTATTAGAAGTTGCCATTCTCTCTTCAGCATAATAATAGTGAAAGCACACTACTGTACACACAACAACTAACTGAGATGCTGTCACAGACTGATAAAGTGTAAAGAGATTGGGATATGGTTTTCAGGCGGTTTTCAATTAGAAAATATGAAAGTTCCGAGACAATAGTTGTGTATGTGTGTTTGTACACAAATATGGTGTATTTTGTGTTTTCTTGCTTTTCAGTGCAACTGAAACAGCTGCAGTCAACAGCACTGAATGAAAACTAGTTGCTAACCGCACAGCTCATTTTGGCATTCTCAGTTTGAGATTTGTCCTCTTGCCATCTGTACTTATCTCACACAAACACATCTTTCTCATATACAAACATATTTGAACATCCGAATGAAGCCCTTTCTGAAAAACCACAGATACTTTCATGTAATTATGAATATGCAGGCAGGTCACCTGTGATACAAGTCAGTATTCGACATCCATCCATGTCCGAGGGCTTCGGGAGATGATGTGGAAACTGGCCACTAGGGGCAACATTGAGCACTGATACCTTCAAGTAGGTTTCCGTTTTTGCTAGGGCATTGTGGATGGGCGTAAGTAGTGATGTTACGTTTGATACCGGAGCTCCGAGGCATGCGTCGAAATTGCTAAGCAGCTAACTTCAAGCAGTGTGCCAATGCGTGTATCAGTTTATCAGAAGTACGTCATCAATGACGTCCGAAGCTTCGTTTGAAGACGTGCTTTTTCAAATCATGTGTTGCAAAATGCGAGCTTCCACAGATTTTGCTGTGGTGCAGTGTTTTTTTTTATTCCAAGCTTCTTTCAAACACCGACCTCTAGTGTACACCGTACTTACAAATATAGTTAGGATTTTGTTCAAAACATTTCAGCTGACCGCAGTGGCGGCTCCTGAAAAAATTCTCAGGAGGGGCAATTTTTCTGATGATTTAGGTGACCTACACACATTTTAAAAAAGATATGTCCAGCAACAACATGAAGACAGGGGCAGCATATAAGTCAATACCAGAAGCATTTATTGACTGATCTGGGGAGATGGATTCCAGTTTCTGTGACAGATTATAAATAATCTCTGATGCCTTTGTTATATTAGCTTTTGGTTGAATGTACTGTCGTAGTAAATATATAATGTTATAGCTTGGTCTGACTAAAATCTTGTGCATGACCCATTTTGTGTTGGGCCTTTGTATTCAATACAATGAACAAGAGTCCTATCTTGTCAGCCTTGTAAGCAGGTGGCTAAGGATAACACCCACGCCATAGGTCTCTCAGTTCTTCCAACTCACGAGTTCTTGCCCTGAGGACACACACACACACACCCACACACACACACACACACACACACACACACACATCATCACTGATAAACACACACACACACACACACACATCATCACTGATAACAAACACACACACACACACACACACACACACACACACACACACACACACACACACACACTGATAACAAACACACACACACACACACAAATCCTCTTCTCTTAGGCTGAACATCTGAAGACAGAGAACCCGACTCAGAGCCAATGCAACAGTGACACTAGCCTGGAGGTGACCTCGCCCAACTCATCAGGACCAATCAGAAGATCAGAACTACTAGATTCAACCTACTTCATTTTATTGTATAAAATGTCAGCACACAATGTTTAGGGGCTCTTCTGATAAACTCCCTACGAGTTTGACGAACGGGTCCGTGCACGCGATTCCAGATATCTTTACCTCTGAATAAACTGCCTTATATTATACAATTATCCACCTTGTCCAAAAGTCTCTACTTGGTCTCCGTTCTCCAGTAAACTTGTTTTATCAACAATAGTAAGGTTCAATGACACAGAAAGCAGTTCAATGTCGGGGTACAGAGTCGCTCTCTTACCAGGATCGCGGTCCGCTCTGACCAGGGTGAAGCCGGCCGGCTCCACCTCTCTGTCCGGGACTCTGTCATCCAGCCAAGTCTCCCAGCTGTATTGGGATTCCGCTGCCAGCAGCGTTTTCATTATTTAGTCCGTTCGTAGCGGGTATGTACACGATCAACAAGATCAGTCCAAAACCGAAGATCAGTCCAAAGCAGAATGTTTGCAGAATGTTTGTAAACTAAGTCTACAAATTAAAAACATAAAATAACGCCACACTGCAGGTCGCAACATAGACGCTGCTAGCCGCCATTGTCTTAGTTACGTTCAACGTTACGTCACGTATGACGAAAGCGCGTAAGTGCATGCCCACAGACACCCATAGAGAATGTATTGAAAGCTTTGAAATGTGAAAAAAATAGATTTTACATGACAGGCTATGAGAGACTTCTGGGCGATTTTCAACCTGAC